AAAGGTGAAAAAGCCTAAACGAGGGAATAAGAAGCCGGGAAGGCTTAAGCAGTAGCATCCAAACCCCTATCGATGCAACAGATAGGGCATCGTTGATTATCCTCTGCGGTGGTCAAAGCATCCGAAAAATTTTTATGGAAAGGTTCATAGTATTGCGTAGACAAGATACTGTCAGGTTGCCCAGGCCTAGACGGGAGAACGATTAGGGCTCTCAACCAAAGCCTTTGGTCCAAAAAAACGGACCGCAAGGCATCAGATTTAACGGTGGGCTACAAGGAGGCCGTTTTAAGGAAAAAGGGGCCACCCTCATCCCAACCCCCAACTTGCATGACCAGGAGTCTGAGGTTGTCTGGGCTCTAACCATTGACCAATCTTGTATGAGTGGCTCTGAAGGTGCAAAAAACCACCCAGCATGGCTCAATGGATGTCTGAGGCACGCAAACCATCTCACCACGATAAGGTCCAGCCTGATTGCGATGGGGGTCGCCAATAAACATGGCACTGCTCCAACAATCGAGGCAAATGAAGATGTGGTCGATACAATCCCGATCTCGACGAAGCCCGGCTTGCTCCTCGCGGATCTGGCCTTCATGAGCGCCAGTTTGTCTGTGGAGAACGACAGGCGCAGGCAATTTAATGGTGATTGAGATCAGAATGATCCCTCTATGATTGCCGCACTCCGAACGGGAGCCTCCCTTGAAAATTGGGACTATGAAGGAGCGGCTTCAGTCTGTCAGGACAGTTTCCTGCTCCCAAAGTTCCACTAGCAACTCGCGTAAATCACTTACAAGGGTAGGCCCCCCGGATTTGAAGAGGGCTGGGGCAATTCTGTTTGCTTCTGCGGTCTTAAGCAATTTCGGCAATCTGATCTCTTTCGACTTCTGTGCGTGAGGGCGGATCTAAAGAGGTGGCTCTTTTAAGAAAAGCACTCAAGGCCCGAAAAAGGAATCGATAACTCATCTTGGTTCAACTGCTTTGCAGGTTGTTTGGCCCAACGCTCCAGGCGTTTTGACAGGCTGTGGATCGGCTGTCCACTCTTCTCGGGTATTGTCTCGTTAACACCAGGTCTCCTGCTGTCTGTTTCCCTTGTCAGACCGAATAACTTACGATGATTACCAACGGCAGCAGCTTTTTCCATTTCTGTTGCACGATGAGACCAGCAGGCTTCGCGGTCTCTCTTCAGGCTAGCACGCAGTTTTGCCCTGAGATTTTTGCGAGTCTTATCGGATTCGCTTCCAGCCGGAATACGTCGGCGATGATCCATAAGTTCCAGAGACTTTTTAGAGACCCAATGTCTAGGTTGGCAATTTGATTTGCCACATGAAGACATGCCTGCTTACAGTAACGCTTGACGAATATGCGACCAGTGATCTTCGATGGTGTTTAGTGGACACTTACTCAGCCCAAATGTCAGCGTAGTTTGATACGCATTCAGAACACCCAGCTTCGCCAGCTGGCTGGTATCAATGCGTTCAGAGCGACGTTGCGAATGTCCGCCGAAACGCACCCGCAGGTCGGCACACACGAGAGAGTGATCGGAGTCCACGCTGGTGCTCCAAATCGAGCGACAGTTTTGGACACAGCCTCTCCAGCGGTAACTAATCGCGATGTGATCGATTTGCGTCCATGGCTGGCCCGAGACTGGTGGGCGCCAAGTCACTCTTCTGCGAGTGCTGTGTCGGAAGTTAGTGCTGGCAAGAAAGAGACAAGCACCTTCACACAAGTGTAGCAACCGCTCGCCGTTATCATTACGAGAGCCTACACCATGTTGGCCGCTCAGATGAAGCTCATCAGAGGACAATTTTCCAACATGGGCGTTTAGATCACCAGCAAGCACCACAGTATGCGTGCTTCTACTGTAACGAAGAAGATCGTTAGGTTGGTGATAGAAATCATCTTTCACCGAATCAGGGCTGCAGTTTGTGGGGGCGTAAGCCGCAATGACAAACAGGCACCGTTTGTCCCCGCGCGACTTCGAAGCCCGGAACGAAGCCAGCTACTCTAACGGCGCACATCCGGCTGTTGACTGGGATCCAGTCGATCAGGGCAGCTTCAGCCGGGGGACTCAAAACAATGCCGACGCCAGCTTGACCTGCATTTGAAGCTGTGTCATCGCCAGACCGGCGCAATGAGGATGTGCCGCCAGTGTCAAATGTGGGGATCGCAGCGTAAGCACATAGCTCGAATCTTGCAGGCGGGTTTCTGATAAACAGCAAATATCGATCGGTAGGGTCTCGAGTGTTCGAGGAAGTGCTGTCTGTTGACCAATCTGCAACGAAGTGCGTATGTTGAGACATCCCAGTCTTTGCGAAGATCGAGGACTCCAAAGGGAAACAGAGCAACGGATGTTGTCCGCTTGGTTGAACATGGACTTGACGACTGGACTGGAGCGATGCCCTGCGATTAGGTGAGTTGAAACTATAAGACAAGCGACTATTGAAGCTTGGTGGGTTAGCGCCAAGAATTGGGGGGATTAACAACTGGAGGATAAAAGTAAAGTTGGAGTGGGACAATAAGTGAAAAAGCGCTAGAGGGGAGTAAGAAGGTAGGAAGGCCTAAACAGTAACATCCAAACCCCTATCCTCCCTATTCTATGTAGCAGATAGGGCGCCGTTTATTATTCTTTGTGACGGCCAGTTCATCAAGAGATTGGAAGGAAAAGCCATGATGTGTTGCGTTAGCAGGATACTGTCAAGTTGCTCAGCATAGCTCAATTGATCACTGATTACTGGTTGGTAGCAGTAAGAAGAGATATCTCTGTGTATCGGCATCTAATGCCACTCAGGGACGAAGACCCGTTATTTTGGAGTGCGCTCGATATGTTTTTTATCGGCAGTGTTTGTCCAGGAATTTCTTAAATTCCAACACCGACTTTGCCTCAACTATGTACTGCGGCAGGTTGTTCCATACATTCACCACTCCGTTCGAAACAGACTTGGTGGGCGACCAGCTTCAGATCCGGTACTACAAGGTTGTACCGGTGTCCTCTTGTGCTGCATGGTGTGCGCAGATGAAGCAGCGGCCTCAATATGAGGTAATTACCCAGATGTAATATCCGATGCGTCATGATGAGGTCAACCCGCAGTCGACGATAAGCTAGGGTGTAAAATCTTATTTTCTTACACCGGGCTTCGTACGGCACTCCTCGTAAATTGGGAATCAGCCTGGTGACCACACGCTGCACTCACTCTTTTCTATCTCTCGCCCCGGGTGATAGGACAATACGCTGGAGAGCCATACTCTACCATTGGTCGTATTATTGAGACGAAGAGGCGAATGGCAGTCACTTTGGACCAAGTGCTGAAGTTGCGCCTGAGCGCCCAAAGCATACGAAGGCTGTTTTGGTAAAGCCTATTGATGTTGTCCATGGACTTTAGGTCGTAGCGTGAGAGTACACCGAGGTCTCGCTCGAATGTCACGGGATGCAACGGTTGAACTACCACCTTTTCCGGTCGACTGTGCTCACACTTATCCAATCTCATAAATTGCGACGACCGGGTTGATCGAAAGGTTGACTTCTGCAGACCACGTGGAGAGGCAGTCGAGGTCCTGCTGAAGCAGGTCACAGTCATTGGGTGCGCGGATCACTCTCCACACCTTTAAGTCATCTGCAAACAATGCACAAGGTGAGTGAAGTAGCTGAGGCACATCGTTTACATGGGTCAGAAATAAAATCGGCCCCAGTACAGTGTCTTGTGGCACGCCACTGCTCGATGCATACCAGTCGGTCGAATGGTTGTGAACCTGGACCCTCCACTTTCGATCAACAAGGAAATTCTTGGTCCATCGATGCAGCGAGCCGCCAACACCGCACACCCTCAGCCTGTCAAAGAGCACTGCATGATTTACCTTTTCAAAAACCAAAGTCAACGTAAAAGGCGTCGCCCGGCTTGCCTTGGTTCAACGCTTGCAACCATTCGTGCCTCGTCAACCGTAGCTTGCTGATGCACCCAAACCATCGCACCACGTTAAGGTCCGGTCTCATCCGTTCGACCATACTGTGCATTTGTGAAACTTGGTCCATCGTATCATCAGACTAATGAGGGTAGTTGCGTTCGACCACCGGTGCCTTCGCAGTCCAATTCACTTCTGGTAGTTGCACCGCATGAGCTGTAAGCGTGTTCGGTCCTTTGCATTTAATGCAGAAAGAGGAATTGAACCATTCCTCCCCATTATTTCACGTACCAGTCTCCGAGGATTGGCCATGTGTAACGCACGCCAACAAATCGATTCCCGTGAAGTGCGTTGTTTGAGTCACTGGGATCTGGATGGAAGAGGAGTAGGGGAGGCCTCGTTGAGTTAGGTAAGATGTATAATGGCCCTCACTTCCAAGTGGGCCTCGGATGGAGACTCTTCTTGATTTGGGTCTAGAAGACGATGAACACGTTTTTGGCTACACTTGTTGACATGGTGAATAATAATAATAATATTAATAACCAGTTTAGCCTACCCTTCCAAACCGCGGTCTCAGTTTCGACCGGACGGAACTTTTCGTTTTGTGTTGTTTTTGTCTTTGTTACTTTTCTCATCCCCTTCTGCTGCTCTCTAATCGGCTTGTATTGTGACATAATACCTGATATGTTTCCCACATCTAGTTAAAAGGTGTCTAGGTGATAATTGTACGACGCCGTAGCTGTTTTTCTTTTCAAGTGTAATTACTGTCAAAAGCCTCACGCTTCCATTTCAATTGAACGCAGGGAATGAGTGACAAAAGTGTCCAACTCGGCTCTCGATTTCCCTCTTCTTCTTGGACATTGTAACTGCAGTCATTTTTGATTTTTTACCTGGACTTCAAGATATCGTTGTTCAGGTCTTCTTTGTCTCGGATTTTTCACATGGCTCAGTTTGTTTGGTATCCTTCATCGGGTGACGAAAGTTCCCGTTTTCCCACGCCCCTGATGAAGACTATATTTCAGCCCTTACTTTGTTGTTTTCCCGTTCGTTTTTTTCTAATCTCGGCTCATGAAATTTATCACCCCCACCATTTTTCTCATCTGCAGACTTTCGCAAAACACACGGTGGAATCCCGGCTTGTTTCAGCTATTCAAGACGCTCGGTCTATGTCGGAGGCAAATCTGTCAGATTCCGAATTACTGTCTTCGATTCGGAAACCACACAATTCTTTCATGAGCGTTATGCTTTTCCGCGCTAAAAATCTCTCCACCGTTCGAATGCTCTGGACACGAAATAATATTCGCACAGCGGTAGAGACAACTCTCTCCTTCAACGAGCCTGCTATATTAGTGGACGTGCTCAACGTTTTGGTCCAGAATAGGTATTTCTGTTGCTTTTACTTGTGGTAGTTACATCGGTATGTCTTTCATCGCCAGACACAATTGGGTTCAGTATGTTTCAGTACAACATCTTTCGCTGCACATGTATCAAGTTACTTATTCATGCGCGAATGGAGTTGCTCTTCAGAAATGTTCGTTATAATTCCCCAGGGTTTTGTAACAGGTCAACGCTTCGTTATCACATTTCAAACCACTTTTCCACTCTTCACTGTGATTGGGGCGCACTCTTTTTCTGCCCCCATCTTACTGTTTACGTCCTCCTTCCAGCAAGCTTTGGAGCTTGGACTTGGCGAATCTGCTCCTACCTCATCTGGCGCTTCTAATCGGTAGCAAGTATTCCACGTGAGTGCAAATCTTCAGTACCTTTCGGTATTTTGTCATGGTCACCTTTGGTTCTTGGTTTCCGTCTCTCTCTTGGCTTTGTTCAGAAATACAGTCCTGTGCTCATTGCATATTGCTTTGTCATTATTTTTTTGGTAGCAGCGTCTCTTTTGTGGTCACTTTGTCCACTTCGTTTACACTGCACCGAACTTATTTATCTTGCTTGCGATATCCCCTGCTTCATTTGTGATTATCGCAGCTTATCTCTTTCTTACATTGCACACGGCTTACTCTCAATTTTTTCCTTCTTCACCATCTCACCCATTTGTCTATATTTCCCAGCAGTGGACTTATACGCTGCTCCCACCATGATTATTGGGATATTTCTGTACTACACATTCACATTTTCCATTCTTCGGACTATTGCTTGCTTCTGTCTATTTGCGTAACTTTCCATCGTTGTCTTGGTTGTTGCAAAAGCTTCTTCATCGCAGATAAATGTTAGGTGTTTTCCTCTCGCAACACCGTTGCACTCTACGACGGGTTTTGTACATGTTTACATTGTAGCGACAGCAGAACTACGGCTCGAACTCGGGTCGCAGAGATGTCGGCTGAAGCCTCTAATCCTAGGCTCCGAGCCGCAGCGGGAAACGTTTGTTGCGGCACAGTAGCTGAGGTGCTCCCCACCTCCAGCTAACGTGTAGTATGATGATGATGATGGGAAACGTTTGTCTGGCAAACAATGCTCTTCACACAGAAGGATGGTTAACAGACGACTGTGTGGTTGTCGTTGAGCCATCGGCTTCATTCAGGGCTGCCAGTTCTGTAGGTTTACGTGATTATAAGACCAGTTTAGTTCATGTTTCCCGATGAATAACTGTAATCTCTTGCACATTGCCCAGCTGCAATGACAATGAAACTTATTTAAAGTCCACTGGATAAAAATCTATCTAGCAAGCTGAAAGGACGACATTAGTTTTCATTCCAAGAGTTCTCGCCTTGAAATTGGATCTGCGGTAAGCACACATCTTGATCTGTGCGCAGCTCAACAATGGGTCACTTTGCGACCCAATCGCTTGTATTTCTGACATTGGTGTTTTCCATACGTGCCACAATTTCAGCATGCAGTTGGTGGGTGGTTCTGATTTTTCGACATTTCGATCATGATCAGCTATGCGACAAATCTGGGGACACATGGTGAGGCCGGAATTCCCAATCATTTTCGGATCACACTACAAATTGCTCAACCTGTAACACAGCGATAATCTGTTGTGCGGCCAATTGTGATGAGGCAATAAGGCTAGCAGACCTGTGGCTGTCGAGATCAGTTAGGGTACTCAGCAAGAGGGACTGCGCGATGCCAACAAGAAGCGAGGTTTTATTAACAAATCATATGCAGCGTACAAAAGGCATCACGTTGGCGTTAATTTCCAGATAGAACTGTGACCTGTTAAAAAGCGTGAATGACAAAGCAAAAGTCTGCGGCTATGAAAGCACTTAAGCGTACATAGATTTTGCTGCTTCTCAGGCACTTGCTTCTTCGGTTTCTTTGTTGTCAGCATTTTTTCTTGTCTGTCTATCTGTTCCATCTTCACTTTATTTTTGTTGACAGTTGGTTGCATCACTAGATTATTTTCATCCATCTCTCTCTTTTTTTCTTGGGGACGCTCCATAATGGTTTGAGTACTCTGATGCGTAGTATACTTATTATGCATGTGCAAACGCGATACTGAACTCTGCACTTGTTTCTGATCCATTTAGACACGTTGAAACTACTTGCCTGGCTGTACACACTATTCTGAAAAATTTTGCTCAAACTATACATCAGACGTTAGATGGTTCAGCGCCACCTGGTGTAGATCTGGTTCGTGAAGAAAGGTGCGTTGTTTCAGTGACTCTAATCCTCCTCGCATTTTGTTTGCTAGCTGATTTTGCAGCTTACTATGTTGAGGCAGCTTCTTACCCACATTTCTCTCGCGTGTCTATGTTTATTTGTTCGGCTATTTTATGCACAATTGCACTACCCTCTTCACCATGGCTTCCACCACGCTTTTTTAAGTTCCTTCGTTCTCTGTTGTTTAATCGCCTTTTCTGCCAACTTTCGGAATTCTGATTTTTCGGATTCGGTTATCCTCTGTATCCGCATTTTCTCCCCAACATGTCTTATTTATCAATTGTTTCTCTGATTGATCGCGTTGTATCATCTGTGCAACTCTGGTGGTCACCCTTCCTCTTGGCATTTTCTCTCGAATCCGTACTTTCATTGATGTTTCACAGTTGGTGCTTCTTCTCCTATTGATCGTCGTGAATCCCTAGGAAATTCCGAGTTAAATCATCTTAGACCTCCGACATTTGATCTTGCGTCATGCTGCTCGACTATTTTTTTCACGTAATGTTGTTTTAAAGATGACGCAAATCAACAATACTCGGAACGGTGGGGGGGGGTACATTTTCCATCTCTTTGATAGACAAAGTTGTTCCTTCTCATTACGGCTGTGGTTTTTGTGGTACACTTATCTCTTTTCACACTTGCGAGTGAATAGATGCTCCATCTTGCCTTTATCACTTTGTTGGTTCACCGACTGCATAAGAGCTGCTACATAGATCTTTCAAACACACGCAGTGGACAACAGCTTTCCGCCCTAGTGGCTTTATTCATTTCACTTCTGTCCGACTTCTTTAGCAGCACACTTTGCTCATTTATTTGTTAGACATCAACCAGGCTAAGTTGCTAGAACGCATTCGATTGTACAAGCAAAGGACTGCACGCCGCGTGACACGCGCAGTGTGATCACCTAACTTCCAAGCCACGACAGCGGGTTTTCGTGATTGAACTCGTCCCGCCAAAACTGACATCCGGCATTGTGAGTGATTTGTGCTATAACCCAGTGGGCACATGTACCTTTATCGCTGTCTGCGGATTTACTAAAAGCGCTCGGCCAAAGGTCTGTCTTCTCTTTCTGGTCGTGCTGCGGCCATGGGAGTCACATTCGTCTCGTATTGCGCATGTCACTCAATTGGCCAGAGTTCCGTCATTGTCTAGGCGGCCGCAAGTTTCGCACTTGCCTTGTCGTGTGAATGGTCCGAATCGCGGAATCGTCTATTCAACGTGTGGAAACGACCCTAGGCAGACATTTCATTTGAACGCGTCCAACACAATGTTGGTCCAGCGGCCGTGTATTTTTAAACAAGGTGTCGTGTTTGAACTGTTTGCCTGTTTCCTTTTAGCTACATCTCTTCATTCGTATCCGGACCATAAATTGCGGTCTGTTCCCCTATGCTTTCGTTCCAGTTTGTCTGTTTTCTTCAGTTTAGTTTTCGCATTCTTCCTACATCTTTGTCTCTGCCAGTCTGTTTTCCCATCATCACTTCTTGTTTTCTCTCTTTACGCGCATCTGCGTGTGGCGCTGTCTACTTTCGAATTGGGTGTCGACGAAGTCCCCTTCTATTGATTCACAGGTTCCGTGTAAAAGCTTGTGAACCACTATTTGCTGTTACGCTTGCTAGTTGGCACGCTTCTGTTTGTTACCTCTAAGCTGAACATTTTGTTTGCCTACGTTCCGTCACCTGTCGACGTGACACTATCAGTGCGAAAGAGTTGGCAGTTCATTAATAGAGGCTGATGAAATACTCTTCATCTTCCCCCATGTACCTTTACTATTAATGAATCCAACATGGATCGTTGCGTGTATTAGCACGCGACTCACGTCTTCGTGGTGCAAGCTCAGATAGGCTGATGATTATTATTCTCACGGAACAGCCACTTTAATTGGGCGATCGTCTCATCCATCTGTGCAGCTGTCACTTCCGGTGATCAGTTCGGCGGTCAGGTTGCTTTGTGCGCCAGAATGTCCCCTGCGGCTTTAGTGCGGTAACGACGCCGGACGAAGTCCGAGTATGCCGTTATACAAAGTGTGCATTAGAGCCCTGGCCACTGCGAGTGGCTGACCACCGAGGCCTCCAGACCACCGTCTCATTAGTATCCACCAGTCAATAGTACCACCTACGATGGACTCTATCATCACTTTCACCCTACTTCGACTAGCGTAATTTAGTATGTGATGTACTTTATCATTTTTTTATTCCTCAGGTGGTGGCACCTGTTGTTCTACACCCACACATTGTTTTATGCGGGTGGACAAGACGCAACCACCTTTTACCTCGACACTGGCTTGCACAGGAAGCCTTGATTACTGGGTCCTAATCTTGGCTTCTTTGATCGCCTCACCCGACCCATTTGCTTTTTCGCCTCACTAGTGTATTGCCATCCGCACAGCATATTGGACACCCCTCCCTTTTCTGACTTATTCCAGAGTAAACCATTTTCCTTATTTGTTTATGGGCTTCTTGCAGCCTTTCCCATCGGTTTATCCCACAAAATATACTCACTATTCTTTTTGACAGTCGACTTGTAGCCACATGAATATCTTCATCACCTGCCACTTGGTTCGTAGTCTTTTTACTGATCACAATTCGCCAAATCATACAATTAGAAAGAGTGTTTACAGTTTGATTACTCGGATGTCCTCCATTGCTTTCTAAGTAGTCGGAGCGCTAAATACGCTTTTTACCCATACCATCCTACGTTCCCATGGCTAGTGGATGCGTGCGCTCTCGTTCTTCACTTGCTCAACTGGTGCTTTATGAACTTGTTTGTGAAATTTACTCATTCTTGCGCTCTTTTTCCACATCTTCTGATTCCAGGCAGGCCAAATGCAGGGACTGTGTGCGCTATTTGTCGTCCATACGCTCTGCGCTCGAAACCAAAGAGGTGGCAGCTCGTGCAGGGCAGCGAGGACGCGAACTTATCGTCCGTTTTCAATCCATGTGCTGACGGTATTTTGTTTGTTCCAACTGTCAGACTGTTTATGAAGCTGCGTCTGCAGCCTCACTCCGAGTCTCCTTCCATGTGTACATGATCGCCCTCCCTCCCTTCTCGCCTCACGGTCGAGTCCCATATGTCTCATTACCGCAACCACAAACGTTATTCTCATTCTCCGATCTTACCAGTTGTGCTTTTCTAAACGAGCTCCCGACCATGGTTGTCTTTCATAGTTTGCTTATCTGTTCCGAGTTCCACTCAGTATCACCTTTATTTCCAGAAGGTTATCCTCTACCTTGGCACACTCTCCAGCGTGCCAGGATCTCAAGAATTTTGCCTTGTCCATCTCATTACGCACACATAAATTGACATTGCCTGGGATAACTCGCTTGTCTTTCACTCTTTTTTTCTGGTGACACGACTTTCGGCACTCTGATTCTTCCGCAGTTCTCGGTTTTACTTCGTGTTTGCCCCGATATGTTTTTCATCGTGACAATGTGTGTCGATGCTGCTGGATTGATTGTTTAGCTTTTAAATTTCGTCTGACAGCATTCCTGATGTAGTCAGTTGGGACTCCGTAGTGTACCGACTTTCCGTCGGCGGCTTATGTGAAATGCCTAACGCCGTGTCTTGGCGACTTGGAACTGCACTTTTTCTGAGTTATCTGTCATTAGTTAAACTTTCCCACTGGTTGCGATTCCGAAGTACGACTTAACTGTTCCACATGACTTTCAGCCCAACCGAAGGAAATACCAGGTGTCCAATATTCTTACCACAACCGCTGTCAATACAAATGAAGCAGACCATGGTCGTATTTCTAGGTCTCTTAATGGCCTACTTCTAGAATAAGCTGGTTAACTGTCAACTTTAGCGCTGCCATGCGGATCTAGCAAATCTTCAGAGGTTAGCACTTACGTGCAAGTCTTGGAACATTACTGGAAGTTCGAAATCGATGCGACTATCGGTACCAATCGAATAATTGCTGATTTGCTACTTCTTACGGGGCATTTTTATTCTATCCCAGACACGTCCACTGCTGAGATGATGTCTGTGATGTATGACGAAATTCAAGGATTGATTTGCAGCTTACAGGATAGTGTTATATGTTTGTCAATCCATCGCTTTCGATAAAGTGTCAGGAAAGCTCATCTGACGGCAGCAGTCTATCGGTTCCTTCGGTAGGTCGAAGCTTTCCACCATGGATCCGCAAGCTTGCTTCTTCTGGTTGGCCCAGCATGGGTCTTAGCTGGTCTGAATGGTGGGCCGAGATCTGCGTCCCCACGAGCACGCCCTGAATGGCATCCCCGCGCTTTTGTTCGTGCCGGGAGTCCACTTCGCATGGCCTTCCCAGTATTTACGTACTAGTGCTAGTTGCCCCGAATTGAACGATCGTTACTTTGTTCCATGCCGCTTGTTACAATCCTGTTCTCCTCTGCGATCTCTTTCAACAACAGAGCGCAGTCGAAGGGTATACACAGCTTCCTGCTCATCATTGCCTGTGCTAGCAAAGCTCCATCCGACGCTTGTAGATTCCGGTGTTGATCGGTGCATGTATGGGAATTGGTGGATCACCTCCGCCCTCCTTGATTTGAGATAAGCGCGTTTTGGACGTATCCACACATCTTTCCGCTTAGCTCATGGACTGCGGACGAGATGGCGAGCCTTTACAGAACTCCGTGAATGCGGCTGTAGTAAACTGTGTTCAATTATCTGTCATTATCATTTCTGGACAGTTAAACCCACTGAATGTTTCCCGCAGCCTTGATACCGTTATGTATTTTGTCTTACTCCTTTATGAGAAACACTGTAGGCGTCAACAACAATCAGGAAACTTTGCACGTTGATGGAATCTACGTAGTCGACTTGCATGCGGCACCACATATTCGTTGTTTTCGGCCATTAGTGGAGTTCCGACTCCATTGATACCCATGAAGTGCTAGCATACCTGTTACAACTTTTAGCTAGTTGGTCTAACTGTCTGTCCACAGACGGCCAATACACGTAGCTTCGATCGAGTGCCTTCATCCAGTTACTTCTGGATTGTCCTGCATGAAGATGCTGCAACATTTGCAAGGTCTTCAGGATTACCAATTTCCGAAACCACGACTCAGTAGTTTGCTATACAAAGCGAATGTCTAGTTTGATTGTATTGCTGCATTTCGGCATTTGAGCACGAACGTGGCTAGCTGGTTCTGTGGAAACGTGCAACGTTCTTCAGCACTGGTTCTCAAAGCGTCTCTGCACACAACATTTGCCATAAATGATTCGATCTCGACTAAGGCAGTGACTTTGCGTTCATGTTTTTTGCTTGTTGGCATCATTTAGGCGTAACAGTTCATTCGCTTAGCGCATGGAAACTGTTGACTAGTCATGGATCTCGAAGTCATATCCCATTAGCTCTGTGGGCCGGCAACGGCTTGTGATCCGTCAAAAGTTTGAAGAGGCGGCCTGCAGTATCTTGTGACATTTTTCACAACGGACACTACGGCAAATTCTTCTTTCCCGATCTGACTGTAGTTTCTTTCAGCCTTTGTTAGTGTCCCGACAGCATGAGCGATTATCTTCTCAGACCCGTCGGAGTGTGTGTGTGAAATTACTGCATCGATCACATGGCTTGATGTATGTGTAGCGATGACTATTACACGGGAAGGACCAAAAATGATTCTAAATCCGATTTGAGGCAACTAGTGACTTGATCGGTTCAGAGCATTCTGATGTACAGTTCTAGGTTTGGCCTTTGGTTGGCAGCTTGTTCAGTGGGGAACTCAGGTGATGCGCTGTAGTGACTGATGAGACCACAAAGGGGACGCAAGAACTGTAGGTCTTTTGGCAGAGGCATCTTCCTTATGGATTTCATGTTCACTAGATCTGGTCGACATCCATCTTTTACAAGGATGAAACCGATGTATTGATGGTCGGCGTGTAAAAGGTACAGTTGTCTTCACGGATGTGGAAACCATGCGACAGGTTGCAACCAACAACTTCATCCAGCCGGTTACGTAGTTCTTCCGTTGTTTGGTCCGTCACGGTGATATCATCCAGATAGGTGGCAGCTCTGAAACTCCAGCGAGCATGGTATCCACTAGTTGTTGGAAAATGGCTGGTGCCATTTTCACACGAAAAGCAAGTGATTATACTGGAACAGCTCGCGATGCGTGTCGATCGTCAGCAACTTTCTCGAGTTTTCGGCAACATCCACCTAGAGATCAAGCTTAGCAAAGCACTTAACACCATTTACTTTTACAATCATGTCTTTTGATATCAGTACTGGTGATTCTCAAGAGCTGTCTGAAGACTAGTTGCGGACACAGCACAGACGCGTACCTTGCTTTCCTAACGGTGACAATGGATGCTGCCCATGAGAAGTAGTTGACACGTGTGATGACGCCGGCTCGTTCTAGTCTTTCGAGTTATTAATCAACCGCTGGCATGGCGGCATACGTCATCGGTCTTTTACTCCTACTGACTGGCTAGGCGCATGCATAGCTTTGCCTAGACCATCCTGAAACACAGAAGTGCGCTTTTGCTCCGTCAACCGTGTCATGTCTTCGTTGATAGGTCCGGATTTGCTCGGACTGGATTACTGACCTAGTTTAACGGAGCAACAGTGAGTCGACGCTTTTCAATCCGATCAAGCTCAAGTAGGTTAAATTTGGTCAGTCTGACAAGTAACACGATACTGCCTCTTCCACATCTTTGAATGCAATGTCGCAAGTAAGTTCGTCCACTAAGCTTAACACACCGCCAGATGCATTATATGCAACTTTCTGAGACTCGACCATATTTGGACTCCTTATTTGATTCCATTTGTTCCTGGAAATAATCGGAATATCTGAGGCAGTGTCGAATTGTAGTTCCGTTCGGATCCCATCAATCAAAACGCATATAAATGGTCGTCTCGGTTTACACTCTCTTTGGAATGCGGCCACTACCGACAGATATTTTGCGCCAGCGTTACTGAGGTTTTTATGTTGGTAAGACCTCGGTCGGGACTGTCGGCAAAAACTTCTTTTCACAAGTATTGCGTTTAAATGGGCTGAATCATGCAATTTGCCACTTGACTGTTGTTGGTGGTTTGTTCGGCGCCTTTTAAACTGTCCCGGCTAGCAGACCTGGCCCTTTTGCAGGATGAACGGTATCAGATAATGCTGTTCGACAATGGTAACGTCGTATTTTAAACTGATCAGACGCTTGCATTTGCCTACAGTGGACTTCGGTGTCAAATCTGGACCTTGATGCAACTTAGTGAGAAGCTACCTGCGGATTTCTGCGACGCGCGGGTGCTGTGAAGCACTGACGAAAATGTGACATTGAACCTTGTCATTGGTCAAAGAGCTTAGTTTAAAACACTGAAACTCGCAGTTGACCATGATTGTTAGGGCCTGATAGTCTCCCGTTTGCTAACTTTTAGGCGCTGATAGCAAGTACTCAAGAAGTTTGATGACCCACCAAGAATTTCACTGAGGTGCGACACTGTCTCGTCGAACGTGAGATCCTTTGATTGTTTGGGCAGATTGTGGTCGATGAACCATGAGTGTTCGTTTGTGCCGAGCATTTGTAGTGGTGCTTGCACTTTTCATTGACCATCCTGACGACTGAAATTCATCCGAGACATATCTTCTCAGCGTTTGAACCACGTTTCGAAAGTACATGCAGTGTTCACACCACAACTAAATTTACTGATAGCATTCGTGAGAATATCACAGAATTGCGTTGCATTTTCCACTGCACCTGTAGACTGCAGACTTAGACAATGCGTAAAATTCTCAACTAATTTTATTTGTGATGGCTATGGGAAAAGTAGATTATGAAATCGTTAAACAGAAAAATTCTTCATATTTCCACTTTTCTCCTTCGCCATTTGTTAGCTATTCCACTGATTGCGATTCCGAAATAAGTACGTAACTGTTCCACGAACCTGTAGCCCAACTGAAAGAAAAATTGGGTGTCAGCTGTCCTTGACAAAATAGCGTGGTAACCGCCACCAAAAACATTGTTCAAATGAAGCAGTT